AAATGAATGAGAGATCATACATTCAGGATCATCGATTGCACCAGCTTTCAATTGTTTCTTTTTCTTTGTTTTATCATCTGCATCAGCTGATACATCAGCACCATTATAAGCAGATGAACAGCTAAATCAAAAGCACGTATTACATGTCGAATGGTGTTTAATGTTGGTTGATTTTTCTAAATTTAAAATAAATAGAAATCAAAGAGTGCAATGAAAATCTTTTCCTTGAAGTTGATTAACCCATTTTTCAATCATGTCAGTTGTAACTTGTTGTTGTTCTTCTTTACTTAATTGTTCACCATCTTCACCTTCCTACAAAATCAACTCATTAATTTTTTTCTAAGACAGATATTGAATAATATACTTGATCAGATAAAGGTTCCATTTTAGCAAGTTGTTCAGGTGATTGATGAACTTGTTGTTCTGGATCATCATCCGGAATCGATTTATCATCTTCATTAACATCAAAATTAAGTAAATCAGTATCTTTTTTTTTTAAATTTATAAAATTCAGAATCAACTGTTACTAAATAAGCTAAATCCTTTTTATGTTATTCAAATGGTGCAATTTCATTTTCTTTAGGTCTAAAAATCATAAATAGAAATTCTTTTATAAAAAATCTTTTTTTATCTACTTTTTATTCTTTATTGGTTTTGTTCTTCTAAGTTTGATCTGAAAGAGTATCTGATAATAACTATGGATCAATACTGTTTATCTAAGAAGTTTGTTTTTCTTTCAAAATTTAAATAAATGTTCATCAAAAAAAGAAAAGAAAAAATTTTTCATTAATTTAACCTATGCACACATGAACTATACGTAAAAGAAAAAAACATCAGTGATTAATGGATGGAAAATTGTTGAAATGGTTGAGGAATTAATACCTTAACAATAAGCAATATGAGTAAGAAAATTTTACGTTGAATAAATCCTTAAGCGGCCCCTCAAAAACATAACTTCGACAGGGTACATGGAATATTGATGAAACTTTGTATAGATGTTGGGCACATGGAAGCACGTTACCAAAAATTTTCACGCCTCCATAGCTTACCGTTCAGGAGATATCAGGGTATCAAGCTGCAAAACAGGGCTCTCACGCGGACAAAGTTTTCATCACTATGGTTCACGCTACAGAGCTCGGGTTGGTTTTATTTGAAAGATAAATCCTTGCAGCTTTGGATGAGGGAAAGGATTTTTTTAAATTTTACTTTATTTCATTTTTTGGATCATCGAGATCTCAAAAATCTGGAAATCTAATGTATGGTTTTCTAGAAAACTGAGGGGTTTCCATAGCATTGAAGAGTAATTAAAAAATCCCTTTCCCTCATCTGAAGGACTATTCATATATCTATCAATTAAAAAAAATTGCAGCTCTCTCGAGTAAAGTATATTGAAGAAAAAATTTGTCCGCAGTTCGATCATTACTAAAAAATAAAAATCAATTTTGAGAAAAATGCAAAAGAAAGTTTTTTTTTCATAAAATCTTTCTATTATTACTTAAAACAGAGATGAAGCATAAATATATTACATGTGAATCGATGTACATCAGAGAGCCCTCATCCGACATACAACATGATAGATGACGCTATCTACTAATGTCGTTATAACTGTTATACCGTTGAAAAACGTAATAAAGACAGAAGAGTAAAAATTACTCTTTTTAGTCCAGGTAGCATCAAAAATTGTTTACAAAACTCCCCCAAACTATCGCAAATCAAAACTATTTTTATGAATTCGTATACGAGGCAACTTAGACAACATGCTCATATGTTTATCTCAAAAATCATTTTTTCGACGAAAATCGATTTTTCTGAGGGGGAGGGGGTCCTTAAGCAAATTTATAACTAAAATATTTTCTAACATCTGTGGATTGTGTATTCCAGTTAAAGATAATTTATTTTCGAGCAATATAATTCATGTTATATAAAGCTGCTTTTCGTTGTTTAGTTGTTTTCGAATTGATCGGATCATACAATAAATATTCGTATGATAGTTTGTCAGACAGTTCGTTGTTGTGAATGAATATAATGAATATTTATTTTTTCAAAATAAATTCTTCTTAAAGAAAAGTTAATTATCATTGAAAACTATCGATTTGCTACGGCATTAGGAATGAGAAGTATTCATCATGTCCTAGAGCCAGATGCGTAATTGATTAGAATAGATCCAACAAACATTCGTACGATCTGAGTCTCGAAGTTTATCAGTATTTCTTAACAACTTTTCGATATACCGTTGTTGAGTAAGTGTCGTTCGAAGATCTTGATAGCCATGGTTCAGATAGCCACTGCCTTTATTGAGAATCACTTCGGCGAGTTCATGAAAGTGTATTACAATTGACAAAATCAATGTAGCAAGATTTTCATCAGGATATAGATGGAATCCGCTGGTCCATAAAGAAATGAGTCGTGGAAAACATTTTGCCAATATGGAAATATCGATTAATTTTGATAAGTCAAATTCACCTAAAAAACAAAAAAACATATTTCAGTGATCTACTTCAATAATAGATTAACTAATAAACATTGGTTCACATTATCGTCGTTAAAAAATCAAAGTCTTATGTTCTTTTGAACGATGCCACTAAGTTCGTATAGCAATCGATTCTTATAAATAGTACTTTTATTTTCTACGTGCTGTTTTCTATACTTGGTTATGATAATAAAATATTTTATTTACTATATCGATTGTAATGGCGCAAATGTAAATGACGCAGATTGAAAAGAGGTGAAGTAGCAAAGCGTCCGTTGCCGAAAGTCGAATCATTATGCATTACATAATTCCAATTGATGGTTAATTTAACTAGATTTGGTGCTCCTCGCAGAATAATGTCGAGAAAGTAATGGCATTGTGATGTCAAGAAGAATTTTTCCTTGTTTTCCCCTTCGAAGAAAGAAAGTGAATGCAAGTTATCCAGTCGAGGTTGATCAAAGTTTGATGGAAAAGTGATTAACTTTGCAAATGCCTAAAAGCAAAATAATACATAAGTTGCAGTGTTTAATTCTAATGTGTAAGGAAATTGATGATAACTGTTGCTTTCTTTCATTTTGTGAGTCTTTTTTCACAGTAAACTTGTTGAAGTTTCTTCGATATGCTTAAGTTTTAGCAAACAAATCTTGCAGAGTAGAAAATGAAGGCTTGAAAGAAAAACAACACTCATATGTCTTCCTATCTAAAACACTACATTTTACGAGACATTGATGTACTGACGAAAAATCGAAGTTCGTCACCGTCATTCAATATGAGAGAATAATATCGAAGATTGAAGCGTGGAGTGTAACATAGTTTTATCTCATCTTGATAAATTCAGTTATCAGCCATTATTTTTTTTTTGATTCCTTTCTATACAACTTAATCTAGATATAATTGCTTAAAAACTTTCTTTTCACTTTATTTATAGATGACAATAGATCCTAACTATATGTAAAAGGATTTTTTTTTGTTTTGGTGATTAATTACACTTTGTGACGTAAATTTATTAAAATCTAATCGATATTAACACATAGAAATCTAAGTTGAATGGTCAAGAACGGTAATACTCCTCGGTCAAAGTTGGCCCGATAAGCATTGCTCAATATTTACATCACTGATGATTTTTCTGATAGACAATAAAACTTGTCCTTTTAAAGACTGAACGCTGGTCAAATAATATAAAATGAAGAAACAAAACTTTGCCTCAACTCCCAAGTAAATTACTCTAACAGTTGGCTCCGATCAAATTTTATTGGAATTCCTATAAGATCAACTAAATCCTATGGAAATCCGGATTGCGGAGCGACATCTCGATTCCTAGTGTTGGATATGATGGGATCAGTGGTGTCACATATCCCGAATTTTGGAAATGCATTATATCTCCAACGGGAGACGAGCTGGTCTCTTGAGCGAGATGCCATATCAGATGTGGGGCATGCAAATCTCTGAGGGTGAGAGTACATCTCCCTAGGAGACGACCACATCTCGTGAGGGAGATAAGGGACGTCTTCAAAAGTCGGGATATGTGACACAACTCGATCGGATCTTACTATCGGAATCTGATAGTAGCTCATCATACAACTATGACCGGTCTTTAGTATTGGGATAAAATGCTAATTAGCATTCAACTAAGAAAAGAGATTTCGCCCGTCGGATCCGTAACCCGGACTCCCATAGCATTTTATCGGCTAATCGTATCCGATTGGATTCCGTATCAGATTCATTCACATGGGCTCCTTCTTGCTGAAGATGAAGTAAAAAAATATAAGCGAAGTTGAAAAACTTAAACTGGTGTATTTTTCGACGTACACAATGCACTAAAGTACTAAGAAAATATTCTGATCTTCGCTTAATACGAGTTTTCAACGTACATTCTGTGATTCTGTTCCTATCCAACCATTTATTGCAAGCTTCTTGGTTGTTTTAAACTTTGCTAGACTATCAAAGATTTCTTGTGAATTGTCGATTTGATTACAAGTCCATAAAATTGATGATGTTTGTGATGCTTGCTTGAGTTTCATTTCGAAAGAGTGATTGTGTACAGTTCGACGATAAGGCAGTGATGAAAGGGTGAAAATAAGAAGAGAATATTTTTTTGTTGGTGCCATTAGCCTTGCGCGCCAGTACTTAACATAAGATAAACGATTTTCTTCGAGACAGTAATCAATGTTGGTAGTTTCGAATGGCCATTCGAAGTTGCGATCTCTTTTCCATTGGTACTCGAGTTCACCCGGAAAGCGAAAGAGAAATTGAAGAGCGGATGGACGAAGAGCAGGCATTCTTGTTCTTGATTGAAAGTATTGTTGAAATTGAGTAAGGTGATTGAGTGCTACATTAAAAGAAAAAACAAATAATTAAAGAATAGTTGTGTCAACGTTGGATGATAAGTCTCAGCAAGTTACAGTAGTTGCTAAAATTCAACGACGCATATTAGAATCTCCTACACACTGAAATGGACTATGACATATTCCAAATTGAACATATTTTCAACGAAAGTTCATTCAGATGTCTTCATCTCTTGTTTCATTTTTCACGCTATTCGATAAAACGATTATTGTTAAATACTTAAACGTTTCAAAATAGTTGTTTTTCTCGCGCATCAACTACCATTGAACTCATCATGCTAACAAGTTCTATTTTGATTGGGAGATGATGTCAGGGTTGCAACTTTAAGATTTATTTATTTACTTTTAAAAACAATTATATATGTACCTCGCTAATCTAGTGTTAATTGAGAAAAATCTTTTATTTCTTTTCTTTTTTCTATTAGTCATATATTGTTGATACTACTTTTTTCCTTTGTTCAATAATCTAAAAAAATATTCAAATTTAGATTTTCATTCTTTCCATAGACTATATGCGCATCAATCAATGAGAAATCCCAGTTACCATTTTTACATTTTTGTGTAAGAACATTTCTTATAGTTATGAAGTATTAATATACTTTATATGTTTGATTTTCTCTATTTGAAAAAAAAGCAGATGATAATGATTTCGATGTAAAAATAGACATTTTTTCTTTAACTAATCACAATATTAAAATGCGTGCTACGATTTTACAAACGTAAAATAAATTCTTCTGAAGAATCTGACCAATTTTAAACTAAAAAGCCCGTATCTGCACCATTACACTCAAACTTATCAAATAAGATATAAATCAGCAATGAATTCTGAACAAATCGAGACAATCGAACATTGTAACCTAATAAATTATAGAGACGTTAGAAAACTGAGATTTAGAAAATCATTGTTATTTCTATTGAGACTAAGACAAAATTTTAATGTTTATAGTCGATTTCTTTCGATTTATTCATTTACTATCAATAAAAATCAGACTATAGAAAAATTCATAAAAAATGAAATATTATTAACTGTTTATCCAGATGACATCAAATTGTTAGACTTACTATCATCATAAACTTCAATTAAAGTTAATTTTTCGAGTAAAGGCATATATATTGATGAGAGAAATGTAAGAAGATCGCCAAATGATATGTAACATAATTGAAGAGAATGAAGACGATTGGTGATATTCATTCCATTTTTCAGTTCCAAATTACTTTCAATATTATAGTTGAGCCATTTGTCTGGCTTCAACATGGTGACGCAAAGATGATCAAGAACGGGAAATGCACAAGAATGAAGAAGAAATAGGTCACTTGATCGTTGAATCAAGAGTGAAAGATGAACAGTACTGGGCCAATATAATTCTTGCCATTCACATGTATTTTTAGTCAAATTATCATCGATTGAACCTACTGAAAAAATCAAAAAAAAATGTCGACGATTATAACGGGTGGGGCAGAATAAATGGACCCCTCAATATTTTGTTTTTAACTCTGTTTTCTTTCAACGAGAAGACATGATTTTATTATGAAAAGATGTGCCATGAACTTCTCTACAAAACAGCCTATTTCACATTCACTCATTAGTTTTCATCGTATTTTAAAATGAAATAGATTCGCTTGACAAAATAAAGAGTACTTTCAAAAAATAACTATTTATATATTTTTTCCGATATCGTCTCATTTGCTGTTTTTCACTGTCTTTTGTTGATACCTTATTTGATTGATAATCAATCGTGATCCATCGATGTTTCAGAGCTATCTAGGCTTGTCTAATTCGATGGAATCAGTAAAGATCAAGGTCAAAATAAGGTATCAACAAAAGATAATGAGAAACGGCAAATGAGACGATATCGGAAAAAATATATAAATAGTTATTTTTTGAAAGTACTCCTTATTTTGTCAAACGAATCTATTTCATTTTAAAATACGATGAAAGCTAATGAGTGAATGTGAAATAGGCTGTTTTGTAGAGAATTTCATGGCGCATTTTTTCATAATAAAATCATGTCTTCTCATTGAAAGGAAATAGAGTTAAAAACAAAATATTGAGGGATCCATTTATTTTGCCCCACCCGTTATGTATAATATCCAAAACAACAAGAAGAGCTCTGCTTGATTATTTTCTTGGTGAAAAGCTGTGTATATTTCATTTTTTTCTTATAAAGAGAAAAAAAAATCGAATTTTCAGTTTAACTACAAAACCATTCACTACTCACAAACTTCGAAATTCAGAAGATTTACATGGAATTGTAAAGTTATGACACTCCGTTTGGAATTTTTATTACTCTGTCTTTTCTTTTACATGCGATTCTTATATTTTTCTAAGAGACAAGGAATGTGCTATTTGAAAATTATCATCTATAACAGAGTCATTCAATTTTTATACTAATAGCTGGAAAATTCTTCTTGTAGTTACATTTCTGGTATTTTTTGTCTCACCCTAATCTACTCATTTTCTGCCTTCGCAAGTTTTTATAAAAATATCTTTATCACTCTTGATGTATAGCTGTATCTGAGGACTTTTTATGGAATCTCATTTTCAAATCCTTTCATAAAGAATTTATTGAAAGATAAAAATGTCTTGATTTTACTCCATTGAGCTAATAAATGCCAAAATATTACAGCAGTTCATATTTGAAATTCTGTAAAAACTCTCATTATAAGGACTTATTATGAAATTTTGCCCTAGTGTGTATTGTCATTAGGTTCATCTAAACAAAAATTACAGCTTCTTAGATGTATATCTTCTCCAAAATATCAGATTCGGAATTGTGAGACAAAATATTTGTGTAATGTAAGATAAGTTTCGTTCAAGTTCTCTATTTCCACGTGAATGAATTGAAATATTGTGAACATTTTTATTTATCTCAGTTTTTGCGAAAACCTATATTAGTCAGAATATCATGTCAAAAGTTTAAGTATAGATTGAGATTATGGAATGGACATAAATTCGATAGATCAATGAAAAATGACGGAATGCAATGTGCTTTTGAACTTTGGTAATATCTCACTGAGATTCAATTAAATGAAGAGCTGCAAAATTCTGACTATCAAAAGGAATTTTCATTTGTATATAAACAAAATTGAGATGGGAAATGATATTCATTAAAAATTGTATAAAGAACTTCTCATAAGTGA